TAACGTTGTATGATTTACAGTTTAAGAAGGGTCACACCGTAGCTGTGCTGAAGGTTTTCCTCGAAGACGAGTACGATTTAAAGCAAGAGGAAACGGTGAGAATTGTCTGATACTTGCTGTGGAATATGTGATCTGCTGGTTAATCTTTTATGCAGCAATTGTGTCTGGATGGCACTATACTTTTGGACCCGTTCTCCCTGACGGATTTCCCGTGCGTCTTGGAAGCGTCAGCGATCGATATCCAAGTACGAATTACTTGCGCGGATGCCAAGAGTAGAAAATGAATCAAGCAGATGCTGGAACGCGATTAGACACTCTTGTATCCCGCCGTCCCGTAAGCATTTAATAACATACCTAATAGCAACTGAGTGCAACCAGATCGACAATGCTAAGGATTTTTTTTGGGGTTGTACTAATGGTTAAACTTACCAGAAATTTTGAACTTAACAATCATTTATTTACACGGCCCCGCCGATTCATTTCCAGATTTTCTTTGAAACTAGCAACATGGAATCGCCCCTGCTCCTCTTGAGCTCCTGTGCTGTCGCGTGGCTACTGGCCACCGTATTGACGGCCCTTCACCGCAAGCTGCGGATTGCTCGTGGCCTGGCATCATTAGACGGTCCGCCTGGTGTCTTTCTACTCGGGTGCATGCCTGCGTACGCCAAGAACGTCAACCGTATCTACCATTTCTTGGTGAGTATCCTCGCCTTCAGTTGCTTACAGACTAACCCGTCATGTACGTTTATCGCAGGAGGATTTGTTGAAGCAGTATGGAGGACGCATGAAGATGCCGTGGCACGTGTTCTTCGACGGCGCCATCTACGTAAGCAATATATCGTTTGGAGTGATTGAGTGGTAGGGAATACTAACAACCACTGGGTATTCGTGTACAGATCACGGATCCGATGGACGTACAGCACATTTTGGCTACGAACTTGAACAACTATGTGAAGCCACAAGCATTACTGGACGCATTTCAAGAGATCTTTGGAGATTCATTCATAGCTATGAACCACCACCCGCAGGCGCCTGACGGAGGAGCTGGTTGGCGTTTACAGCGCAAGGTGGCGGCCAAGGTGTTTACCACTGCCAACTTCCGTGTGTTTACCGAGCAAGTATTCGCACGTCACGCTGAGGAAACGCTTGCCCTTGCCCAGGCCGAATCCAAGGGAGAAAGCTTCTGCTGCGATTTGCAGACGTTGAGTACGAGGTTCACCCTGCATTCCATCTTCGACGTCGCTTTCGGTTTGCCGCTTAGTGAGGTTAAGAATGCAGACAGCTTCGCAGCACACCTGGACCTTGCCAATGAACACTGTGCGCAGCGATTGTTCGTGAAGCAGCACTACAAATTGTTTCGTTGGATTATGCCTAGCGAACGTAAGTTACGGCAATGTGTCCGCGGTATATATGCCGTGTCTGACGCTATTCTGCTGCATCGTCTGGGAGAGTCTGAAGACAAGATTCAAGCGCGATCGGATCTATTGTCGTTATTTATTTGCAAGGCTCGAGAATTGGCTGCAACCAGCCAGGAGGAGCGTGATGAGTCTGAGACGTCTTGTCTACTGGGTCCTAAGATTCTCCGCTCTATTATCGTGACGTTCATCGTCGCTGGTCGAGACACGACGGCCGCGTGCATCACATACTGCTTTTACGCCATCGCAAGACACCCACAAGTCCAAAAACGAATCGTCGAGGAGCTGGAGAGTTTGAAACGAAGTACTGACTCAAGCTCCACACCATTCACGTTCGAGAACGTGAAAAACATGAGATATCTCGACGCTGTTGTGCACGAGGCCTTGCGACTGTATCCACCGGTGCCGTATAACCTCAAATGTGCTGTAAAAGACGACTATCTGCCTGATGACACTTTCGTACCTGCTGGAGTCGAGATCGTCTACAGTCCGTGGTATATGGGTCGCAATAGCGCGATTTGGGGTGACGATCCGTTAGAGTTCCGTCCGGAACGTTGGTTAGAGTTGACCAAGCATCCCAGTGCGTACGAGTTTCCAGCCTTTCAAGCAGGCCCGCGTTTATGTCTCGGTATGAACATGGCCGTGCTGGAAGCCAAGTTCTTCCTCGCCACCACACTGCACCGTTACCACATCACAATTGCACCTGGTGAGACGCAGGAGCGTGGCTACGTGCTGAAATCGACCCTAGTTATGAAGGGAGGTCTACCGCTGCAGATGACACCACGCGCTCGGCATTCACTATCCGCTTAGTGCTCCACCAGAGCTCGCAATCGGGTACGCGAACTCGTGTACACCCGCTACTACATGTAGTTTATCAAGTCGTCAACAAAGTCTCGACGCTCTAAATGGTAGTAACCATACTAAGGTTGCTCGCTTGATTTGGCTGATTTAAGCGGCAAGTATCGTTCAGATCCGCTTGAAATACAATGCTCACAGTTAATAATACAGCAATTGAGGATCAACTGTTGAGCAAAGGACATAATACAGTGCTGTAGCAACGACTGCACCGGGTTGTCCGTATCATAAAGAGCTAATGGTCTTTGATCGCGAACGCTCGCAAGAAGACTAGCCACACATTTTCTCTTCGTGGGAGTGTTGAAGTGTAAGCTCGCAACAACTTAACATCTGCCGTGCATGTGTGCGGGACAATTTCGTGAGCTAAAGAAGAAGCGCCACTACTCTGTCGCTTCTTAAAGCAGTATAAACTAGCCCAGAAGGCAACCTTAACGCAGATTACCAAATATTTCAGGAGAAGTACCTCGTGAAAAACTAACCGGTAGAAAAATTCTACTACCATCCGGGATTGACGCCTCGAATAAAGATTAGGACTTGTGCTGCATGTCAAAAATTGTTGGACTGTCTGACTTCAAGGAGAGTGGTTAATTGGAACCGTTCTTTTCTTTTTTATAGTATGTTTCCCAGAGTACCAGAACATGCTGTTGCCAATTGTTCCACTATCATCTTGGTAGAGCCAACAGAATCAAAAGTTCTACTAGCAATACATTCATCAACATTAAAACACGTGACTGAATCTCTGATATCTATATCTTGTAGCTTTCGTTAGGAAAAAGATGTGTACTTCCATATGTACCTGAGTTTTGAAAGATATTTATTGATAATGTACCCTTCATTTGTTCAGATTTACCCAGATTGCCAAGAACTACTACGCAGTACAGTTCTGTCAACAATAGAAAACACTCGCTAAAAGATTTGTCTTGGCGTATGATGCACAGTTTCGTGAAAATTCGAGTTAAAAAACAATTCGTAATTGCTATCTTGAAGAATAAGTTTTGTAGAATGGTGAAGCTAATATTTCGCACTTCAACTGTTTTTTTCCAATAAATCTCGATCACTATGGCAAATAACCAAGTACGATCCGACGAAAACGTAAAGCTCCCAGGTCAGAACTTTCACCGGAATATGTTACCGATACGACATCTCCTTAATATGTCTGCCTATTTCCACCTTCGCAGCACTATCAGCCTGCAACCTCTTCCCTACTACCGGCATTTGCAGCTATTGGATGAAGTATGAACCAGTGTCTGTAGTGTACAGCGGAGTTAAACTGGCATTCATACCAGGCTATTCGAAATGTATGTTCTATGAAAAATTCAATGTCTAATCGATAAAATACGATACTACATATTGTGAATACTACTGTAGTATCTGAGTATTACTGCTGCGAATCAGTTGCACTCAAATCGACACAGTTGCCTAATCGCCGGAACTTTACAGTGTAGTGGCTGAGTGCAGATATCCTTGCAAGACCGAATTGCTGGCATATGTGATCAAAACAATGGTGATTCATGCAACATAATGGTAGATACACTTTAAATGGACATTTATTGTTGCGTACAAGACACTCAGTCTATGTGAATGTTCGAGCAATCTCGAGCTGTTCACCGAAAGCTTACACTCCCTGCTTGTGGTTCTGGGATTGGTTCTGCTCGCCCTCGTTCTGGGACTCCTCGCCCTGCTTTTGCTCTCCCTGCTTCTGCGACTGTTCTCCCTGCTTTTGGGACTTGTCACCGTCGTCCTTCTTGTCCTTCTTAGACTTGTCGTCATCCTTCTTAGACTTGTCGTCCTTCTTAGACTTGTCATCGTCCTTCTTAGACTTATCACCGTCCTTCTTAGACTTGTCGTCATCCTTCTTGGACTTGTCGTCATCCTTCTTGGACTTGTCACCGTCCTTCTTGGACTTGTCACCGTCCTTCTTGGACTTGTC